GCTCGACCTCAGCGCTGGCTTTGAGGGCATGAAATGTTTATTCCTCTCAGTGATGGGAATATCAGATTATGAGGTTATATTTTATGGGCTCGGTACAGTTTTCAGAGCGGGGACACTTTGAGTTTGTTTGAGAGAGTTTGAGCTGGTTCGAGTCAGATTCTTTCACCGACGATAAAAATGTCTGTTTATTAAGAGGAAGTGGGATAATTGATTCAGAAAAATCAATTATTCATGTTTTTTTAATGTTTCCTCTTTCAGTCACACTGACGTATTTCAGAGAAGCACGTTCACACTTTAGAGAGTTGGTTTTCTTTGTTATGTAGTATTGTGTCTAAGCATGGATGATTGAACAGCTGATGCTTTTGCTGGGGTGTTACTGGGGATCAAGATAGATGGTTTTACTGGTTTACCACAGGTCATAGGTCAGCAGACTGCTTGTGAACTTGATTCAAGCAGCTCGGATAAAAACTTAAATCCCTTTTTGTAAATCCAAACACAACATTAAGGTGACCATACGTCCTCTTTTACCCGGACCTGTCCTCATTTTTGGGGGTCTGTTTGGGGGAGTTTATAAAATCCTTCAAATGTCTGCGGTTTCGTATGGAAGTTCTGAGTTTCTGAAGCGTGGACTAACTGAGTTAGAAGCGCGTAAAAGACACTCAATCCAACTCGAAAAACTCTCAAAATTAACTACTCGCGACTCTGTGACTCCGCCCCTGTGATGTCGTGTCTTCTTTTTGGGAATTCAGAGTATGGTCGCCATACACAACATTAGAGTTTGTACTTCTTTAGGTTACTAATCACCTACACTTTTATACTTTCTCATCATTCTGGTCACAGTTTCCTTTCAGTTCTTTAACTCACAATCCACCAGAAGCAGCTTTCACTTCAAAATAAAAGCACAGCTCTACAAAGTAACCTAATATCAAAATAAAAGCACGACAAAATCTAAGTCTTCTCTAGAGAACTTTTAGTTACCAAGCTGGTGATGTGGATAAATCATTAATTTGAACAGAAGTGGATGATAACATTAGGGCTGGGCGATATGGGAAAAAGTTTATTACAATATCTTTATTTTTTTTTTTTTATCAGTCGATATCGATATATATCAGGACATTAAAAATCGCTTGTCAATTTTAAATGTTCCCTGTTCCTCTTGAATGAAATTTAACATTACTGATTGGTCGCATGTCTTTTGCAACACAATAATCTCCTGCATCTGTGAGGTCTTTGTGTCTCTTTGACATTTTGTCGTAGGGCGTTGCGGCAGAGAAAGCGGACTGGATGGTCGATTCAGCGCGGCGCAGACCCGGAGCAAATCCCCTTTTCATCGGCTTCATATGGTCGACCAAACATGGCAGAGCGCCGACTATCGAGAAGCGTATTGACCGTGTTTCACATCAATGTCGAGGAAAATTAATTTTTAATATATATCATTATTGTTTAATCGCCCAGCCCTAGATAACGTGTGAGCTAACTGTGATTATCAACTGTTTCTCAGTTTTACTTACTGCCCACTCAGGACATCAGCTACCATCTGATTGGCTGTTATCAAGAAAGCCTCGACCTGCTGCAGCTGTTTGGACAGTAATTAGCTCGACCTTAATCAGGTCTAATTAAATCTATGAGTCAGGGGAGCAGATACATCCACCAATGAAACACAAACTCACATTATCTACTCACAGACAGACAGCATCTGGACCTACAGGTGGATCCGGCTCAGGAGTGAATCTGACTAACCTCTAGAATCTACCTTCTTATTTCTACATCTATATCCACATCTATTAACTTCTTATCTAACATGCAGTTTTGACTATTTAATCACAGACTGTTGATCGAGTTGAATGAATCGACAGGTGTCAGCTCAGTCGGGGTTTTTGGCTCATAAGACTTCATGTTTTTTTTAATTTCACATCATGTTAAAAATTTTTATGCTCATCTCTAAATACGTCCTCTTAGAGAAGCTGTAACATGATGAAACTCTGAGTCGTCACCTGTGTGGCCTCTCTAAAGACAGAGTCTGGCTCTGCTGAGTATAGTTTGAGGTTTCCTCATTTCCCCTTTTCGGTCCTTATCGTGGCGCACAGATGCAGGTTTATGGAGAACAGCTCAAACGAAACGGCCCTCAGTGAAAAACACACTGGACTCTGTGTTTGCTTATCATCACGTCAAAGGTCAATCATGTTTATTTTTATTTACCTGTTTGTTCGGTTAATGACGAGTCAGAAGGTGGTATTAATTACAGAATTAAATTGATGTCTTATTTTAGCAGGATCAGGGTTTCTGAACTCAACTTAAAAAAGAAGGGATGATAAAACGCCGATTTTTAGAAATAAAACAGGGAAGAAAAGGAGTAAGCTGATGGTTATTTTTAATATTATTACTTTACAAACCACACTAAAGTTATTTATATTTCTTGGGCCTGCAGGAGACCACCCCAGGAACCAATCCCAGCCCAGTATGTGACTCGGTGGTCCATCGCTCCTGCCCTTTTATCTAAGAAAGCGCCCCCTCATTATCTGACTCTGGTCGTCACACTCCATTATGCATCTGTGTGTGTGTTATAGTGTGTGTGTGTGTGTGTGTGTGTGTGTTATAGTGTGTGTGTCAGCAGCCCTGCAGAGGAGACACACACTCTTTGGACTGATCCTGATGGATTATGGGGGAATTCTTCTTCATGACTCTCCTTGTTACGGGGAGGAGAGGGCAAGAGTGAGAAAATAAATAAGACGTCACTTTAGTTTATCTTGTTCTTGTTCCAAAATAAACAGAGCGACGGTGGAGAGAGAGAGAGAGAGAGAGGGAGAGAGAGAGAGAGCTGCAGGGGCTCCGAGTTTTTAACACGGCGGCTTTGATCGAAACAGTTTCGAAATGTTGAGAAAGTGCCACACGCCTGTCGCCACGGCAACAGAGAGCAGACGTACATACAAGTGAGACTGGACAGGTGATTTATAGAAAGCAGGGCTCGGTTTCACTTCCCTCTCGCTGATGTGTCTGACAGATTCAGATGCGGGTGAGAAATCATAATTACTGTCTTTATTTGCGTCGCTGTGGTCGCCGCTCCTCTCACGCCGCGGCCTTGAACGTGATTTAAACCGCTTTAACAAGGGTCACATAGTGCGAGCTCGCATGCAAACGCACTGTGACTTTCTTGTTCTGCTGTGTGTGTGTGTAATGTTTGCACATATTTAAGTGCATGAATAAGAGCGTGAGTGCGAGCCCTGTAACCCATATGTGCAAAGGGTGAGAGTTCAGCTCCTGCAGGGTTTGTTTAGGAATATATGACACTGCACAGCTGGACTAATCATCTGTGCATATCTGACTATAAAACTTTACTGAGCGTCACCACGGCCAGCTGCCTTTATCAGCAGAGTTGGAATCTCTCCCACTCCTCACCCTAACACACACTCGCTGAGATTTGGTTCAGAAATCTAAATTTATCCCCGCGTAGATTTGGTGCCAAAGAGATTTCTATCAAAGGAGTCAGAAAACAGAGTCGTTCGTCGCACTTACACATCCTGACCACACTGAACTGCCCACTTCTCTGTTCTCCGCTGAGCGGCTCTGACACACGGTTGACCTCAGGCTCACTACATCCATCAGGTGATCATTACAAGTTGGAGGTCACGGCCTGCACGCTCCAATCACCGCACCTCTGCCTCCTCCTGCAGTAACCCTGAGCTCTACACAAACCCCTCACTTCCCTGATCTTTCCCCAGGCACCAGCCTGCAGAAGGAGATATAAAGCAATCCTGTCTGACTGCAGGAAACACTCGCAGGAAATGGAGATGCACTGCGTCTTTCTGAGTGCCACTTCACGTTATTTATTTGGACAGATTTTTCCTTTTTTTCCATGGGAATCCCCTGAACTCCATCACTTCAGGAATCCCAAAGTCGGAGTCTGGGAGCTGGAGGAACAAGCCGTCAGTGTCATGCAGCTTGTTGGGGCTACAGGGAGGGATCGCTTCCCTTCACCTCCTCCTCCTCCTCCAAACAAAAACTCATAGGGGGGGGATCCAATTAGTTAATCCCACTCTTGACACACTTCCACTTGTTTGCAAGACACGCAATTCCTCCACAAAACCTCTCATAACAAGCTGCCAACGAGGAGAGAGAGAGAGAGAGGGGGAGAGAAAGTCTGAGAGGCGATTGATTATGAGGTTTAAACGGACAGAAAGACATCTGGTTTCCATTAGGACCCGTGATGGGATGCAGGGCTCCTCGACAGCCGGCAGCACAGGCCACACGATGTTCAGGCACATGCTAACGCCGCCTGTAATTACTGCATATGGGATCTGGGGGAATAGAGTATGTCATCTAAAGCTGAAACAGGTTTAATATGGATTTTCCATTATTCAAAAAAGCTCGACTGTTTAATTTATCTCCAACTGTCCGACTGCTGGATGACTTAATTTGGCCGTTTTCAAACATGTCCCCACGCTGCTCTGACTCAGAGATCCATCTTATCTGATCCTTTTTACTGTATTAACGCCGTAAACACTGAAAAATCTTCACTGGACTTTTTTAGAGTTCATGTAATAGTCTGGCCAACAGTAAAACAACTCTCCTAACGCTCAGAGTAACATCATAAATGACAGAAATAATAATCATATTATATCTCATACGCTGTAAATGATTAAAGATCATAATAATTCATAAAAAGCTGCTGAATAAAAGTGAATATTTGATTAAATAATCATATTTAAATGTCTGTCAAGCCATCTCAACTTATAACTGTTAGCACATATCTGTGGGGATCATGTTTGTGCACGTGTATTTACAGGTAATGTGTGTGTGTGTGTGTGCGCGTGTGTGTGTGTGTGTGTGTGTGTGTGTGTGTGTGTGTAGCATCTATAACAATAGAGTGTAAACTGTGAACTTCCCTTTGAGGATTCATAAAGTGACTTAACATTAACATTACATAAGAAATACAAATCAAAGGTCAATAATGGAATTAGAATTTTAGAGATATTCATAGTCATCTTACTCAGTAATTCATGTTAAAGGGATATCTCGGCGTAAAATTAATTTAGGGTCAAAGACACCGTAACACCGAGTTAGACCCCCCCTCCAGAGATGAATGTTGTCGACCGCTTGCTTCTCTAGTTATACCAACTTTAGTAACGACCGCAGGATAGAAATACACAGCGGTCTGAGGAGCCATAAACAAACCTCAACCAAAACGCCACTCTATAGCCACAAATAATGCTCAGGGACTAAACACAACTCATCTACTCTCTTCCAGCAGCCGCTTGTTTGTAGCGAGACCTCAGGCCAGTCCATTACAGACTACAGCAGGGTGACGCAGCTCAAGGAAGAACATTTATGATCATTTCTTCATGGAAATACAATCAGACTGAGATGCAAAGGCAGAAGAACTACCGCGTCTGCAGTAAAAATGATTACTATGATGATTATTACTTCAAGGAAATGATAAAGAAATGATCATAAATGTTCTTCCTTGAGCTGCGGCACCCCGCTGTAGTCCGTAATGGACTGGAAGAGAGTAGGTGAGTTTTGTTTAGTGTCTTTGCTAAAGAAATTAGTTAAGGCTGCTAAAACAGCAACAAGCCACACAACTGTAAGTTTACCGACCACGCCCTTAATTTATTAAGTAGATCACTTCCTAGTATCGTAGAGTTTGCCGTCTCCTTTCCAATCAAATTTAAGGGGAAATCATTTTCAGAAGAACGTTATTCTGAGCGAAGGTAAAGGAGTTAACTGAAACTTTGGATTTTTGTCACTTATGGGTAACGCAGTAATCGTATCATATCATATCACTCACTGTCTTTGTGGAAAACATAAAGAGTGTTTTAGTCGCTCATTTGGTCATACGCCAACCTGGCAGTAGTGATAACGACTATCTAAGGTTAGAAGATTTCAAAGAGATCAATCTTGATGCCGATGGTTTTATCAATATTAATATCAGTCTGTTTCATAACCAGCCAAAGCTCCTCCCAGGATAATATGATGTCTTTATCTGGTCTCATCACATTGCTCTTGTGGCCTGGCGTATTTGCAGAGTGGGGACACACTTCCCTTTACTGTGTTTAAACCACGATTGTGAATTCGACCAAAGTTTCTGCATTCTCTGTAACCAGCCAAGCTCATTATGTTTCTCACGGTGCAGACCGTCCTCGACCTACAGACGTCCCTCAAACTCTACGGCAAAGCTGCATGGTCAAATTTAATGTAATTTCCTACACTGTACTTCAGCACACAGGGGGATTCCTTCCTCGGGGGGTGATTACTCAGAAATCATGTCTGACAGATGTTTCTACTGGGAGAAAACATGAGCAGAAAAGAAGAAGAAGAGTCTCCCTGCTATATGACTTATCACCGTGGATGAGATGGAGATTATTGACTTAACTGGTCTAAACATCAACAGTGAGGGATTTAAGGCTCCTCCCTCAGCGTCTCAGCTTTGTGTATTTTACTGGAGTGGGGGCAGAGGAGGAAAATAAACTTTATTTATTTATTTATTTATTTTAGACAAATACGCAGACTAAAATCTGTTGTGGCTTTAATGCGATTATGTCGGGTTATGAAGGGGAGGTATTGATGAGGTGGGAGCAGGTCATGTCACGATAGAGAATAACACTAACAGCAGTAAATCAGCTCTAGTTAGGTTTAAGCTAATCAGTCGAAGCGCATAGACACAGATTATATACGCCGCTCTATAGCCACAAATAATGCTCAGAACAGCACCTAACTTCATCAACAGGACATATAGGGTCACAGACATAGTACTAGACACCAAACATCTTTTTAACTTTGACTCATTTCTTTAGCAAAGAGACTAAACACAACTCACCTACTCTCTTCCAGTCCATTACGGACTACAGCGGGGTGCCGCAGCTCAAGGAAGAACATTTATGATCATTTCTTCATGGAAATACAATCAGACCGAGACGCTAAGACAGAAGAACTACCGCGTCTGTAAAATGATTAATATGATGATTATTACTCCAAGGAAATGATAAAGAAATGATCATAAATGTTCTTCCTTGAGCTGCGGCACCCACAGTCCGTAATGGACTGACCTCAGGTCTCGCTACAAACAAGCGGCTGCTGGAAGTCAAAGCTAAAAAGACTGGGGTGTCTAACTCGGTGTTACGGTGTGTTTAACCCTAAATTTATTTTACACTGGAATATCCCTTTAACTAGCTTTGATCAATGCTGATCTGCTATCACTGCACTTTCACTTTGATGCATCACACGATAATAAGCCTGAATTTTATTGGGAGAAAAATAATGGTTTTACTTCTGCACACTGATTGGTGACCTTACTATTACCTGCTAAAGCAGTGATACTGGTGCTGATAATCTCTAATCTCTACAACTTTAAAGTCCTGTTATTCAGATAAATTGTGGTTTCTGATATTTTGCTGTGTCAGAGCATGATAATGATATTAGTCCAGAGATCAGTATTCATGTTGGCGTATTTGTTTACATTCTTGACTCCCAGCTCTCTGACTGTACTGATCCACTCCAGAGTCACGGCTCTTCATTACGATATTTCATCACATCTATCAGCCCCCCCATAAATAAACGCCTCACTCACACAGTCGAACACGGACACAGTAGTGTAGTGGGTCCAGTGCATCCTGGGTCGGCCATGACAGACACTGAGACTAAACCACATGGCAATAATTTACTAATGCACTCCTGCGCCGCGCTCCTCCCCGGGCCTGTCTGCAGCTCCTGATGGATGCTGACGTCTGCAGAGATGGACTGCTGCTGATAGGGAGTGACCAGAGAGGAGCCTGATTAAAAGTGGTGGAGCACGGCAGAGGGTGATAACCCCAATCCAGCGGTGATGAATCCACTCTGGACAGGCTGCTGTCTCATTAGGGTCTAACCTCGGCCAGGCACTACATGTCCAAATAAACTTTGAAACAATCCTTGCTTTTATCAACAGGATTACGCTTGTTTTCCTTTCCACAGGCTTCCCTTGTGTGGGCTCGGAGAGAGAGTGTCCTCCCCCTCTGTTGGCCTCTGTAAACTGAAGGTGTGATTCACCAGCCCTGACTTCACCATGTTTACACAATCCCGGGTCTATCTGCTTGAATTAATGAGCCCGGCAGCACCATTAGACAACTATTTGCCTGACTAATCTGGAGCCAATGTGAAATAGTGAGAAAAAGTTGGAATAATCTGCCCTTTATTTGCGATAACATAAACAGAGGGGTTGTTTTAAAGGATGATAACATTAAATATTAGGCCTAGGGAGGGGGGCAGAGAGAGGTAGTTTACATTCTCACTGGAGTAGTCTTGATAACAGGCCAGGGGGAATATGAGACCCTTTAAATGTGTGCATTAGTGTAATTTATTGAGCTTCCCTCGCAGCCCTGCTGTTCCTCCAGCTCCTTTTTCCCAAACAAAAGACAGGCCAAGCAAGGCTCCAGGATGGATGGGAGGGGAAAATCATTCATAGTGATAATCGCATAAAATAATGCCATATTTGCTGCCTAATAGGCACAAAACGTTCCATCCGCCTCCTCCCTTCGTTCAGGATTAGGGGACTCCTCCGAGCGGGCCTGTGTGATTTAAACCTGGACGTTTGGGTCTGCTTCGGTTCTGGAGTGGGAACAGGGAGAGTCGGGGGAGGGCGGATTCAGGCCACGATTTCATAATTCTTTGTGTATGTCTGGAAGTCATCCACGCGTTCTGATTTTTTAACCAATTTATGTCCAAAAGGAATGACCCTGGGAATTAATGAGGTTTCTGGCCGTGAGTTCCAGCACTGCAGGGTCAAGTAAATCATGCTTTAGGGCTCCAGTCCTCCCCACTCTGCTCCCTCGCTCTCCCCGACTCCACATCCTGCGATAACGGAAAGACAAGGGGCCTGAGAAATACCACCTCATCGACACTTGTGTCCATCCAGTAGAACATATTTTAAGAGCCTGAGCGCCAACCAGCTGTAAAGCCGGCTTTTAGTGGAGACGAGGAGCTGATGAATGGGAGCGGGGCGAGAGCAGCGAGACCAGAGGTCACTTTCTTCATTTCACATTTCTCAGCAGATTGTTGATGTTGTTCAGATTTCTCTCCAGAGATGCCTTTTTTTTTTGGACCGGCTCTGCTGTGTTTTATTGGAGCATTATAAAGAGTTTATGCCTGATTTAGCGGCGCTCTTTCCCTTTGAATGAATCCGTGCTGCTGGAGCGCGTCCACATGAGGGAAAAGCTGACATCACTCGGCATAATACTGTGAAACTTAATAGAGTAACACCTAAGTAACGAGGCCTGCAAATCAATCAACTCTTTTAAACGCAGGAAAATAATTTTTCTTCTCATTTCATAGCTGTTAAACTGCAATAATTTTCACACATGTGTTTAGTGTTTCATATTTAAGAGGAAAAAGGGTGACAACATTGTCAAACAAGCGTGAAACTGGAGCTCAGCTCACCACTCGGGGAACACGGCGCAGATTGCCAAGAGGTTTTTTTTTGTCCTACTGTAACCAATAAAGTCACATTTATCATCCAAATTAATTCCCCGAGAAGAAACAGTCTGTAAAAAGATTCTTAGTGATTATTTTTCCCAGTATTTTTTAAAAGAGTCTCAACAGGGGATCCTACTAAACGTTTCCAAGTCTCCTTTTTGGAAAATGAGATTATTTTATCAACAGAAATGATCTCTTTGTCTCGCTGCAGTAAAAGAGATGATTGTTGGAAAGTTGTGTAGTATTAATGATGAACTGAGTCCAACCTCTGAATCTAAATCAAACTGATGATTAAATTTCAGTGAATAAATCAGCTCAGATATCTAAACCTCCTGAACTCGACGATATATCAGAATAACTACACAGATTATTCACTAACGTATACCTGTTTATATTTATGGAGCTGGATTGAAGCTCTGCATGGACTCTGTTTGTTTAACTGAGGACCAGATTTACTCACACTCGCTCCTGCCCTCAGTGTTACCCTGAGCAGAGCATTTGAGACCAGGAGGCCAGAATTTAATGACACAGGTAGGGCTGGGCGATAAAACGATAATGATATATATCAGAAATTAATTTCCCTCAATATCAGTATGAAACATGGTCAATATGCTTTTCGATAGTCGATATTCTGCCATGTTTTGGTAGACTATACGAATAGCCAATGAAAAGGGGAGTTGCTCCAGGTCCACGTTGCACTGAACCGACCATTCAGTCGGCTTTCTCTAGAGCAACACCTTACGACAAAAACGTCACAGAGACACAAAGACCTCACAGATGCAGGAGATTATTGTACTGCAAAAGAAATGCTACCAAAAAGCACTGTTAAAATTCATTTTTTATATCATGATATATACATTCCCTGAGGTCTGCAATTCAGCTCCGACTCGTCGTCCCTAAAACTCGTTAAAAATCCCGTGGTGACCCAAATTGTGGAACAAATTGCCACTCGAGATTAAAACACCCCCAACTCTTTCTACTTCTAAATCACATCTTAAAACTAATTTTTATTCCTTGGCTTTTAGTTCAGCATGAGAGTTGTGTGACCTCTGTCCTTTTTAGTCATTTATTGTCCTTTTATCACTTTTATGCTTTCGTGTTTTTATTTTATCTTAAAAGATTTCGACCTGCTTTTATTTATTTCTTCCTGATGTTTTCTTCAGTGTTTGTTCTTTTAAATTTACTGTGCAGCACTCTGGTGTTTTTTAAAATGTGCTATACAAATAAAGAGAATTGGATTGGTGTGTTTGATTTAGAGGAGTCTCTTTGGAAGATAATAATAACATGTGTAAAAGTCGTGTTGACTTGGTTACCTCATGAGAAGCAGGAATCCCGTTTCCTGTCAGGTCTGTCTTCACTGTCGGTTCACCTGAATGTTCGGACGGTGAGGTCGATTGGAGGAGCTACAGTCGGTAGATCCTCACAGATGCTCCTGTAAGACAATAAAACACAGACATGAATCAAACTGGGTGTTAGCTGAAAAGGTAATCGATAAATCCATGTTTAAAGGTCACTTTTTAAAGTTCAAGTTGATTTATCATTCATGATGCGTCATTACATCCTTAGAAAACCTCTTTTTTAAATCATTTTGGAAACCCTGAAACTATAAACAGATTATAAAATAAATGACAGGATAAGTACTTCTCAGGATGAGTTAGCTGAACTTTGTGTGTGAAATCAAAGCTTTTAAAATGACTCCATGTATCACTGATAGGATTTCGGACAGAGAACTCCCTTCTTCTTGAGTCATTTCACAATCCAGGTTTATCCTCACATTCCTTCCTCTTGCTAATACTTTACCTTGTTTATAAGATTATCCTCCCAGTAACAGTTCACTTAACTTATGAATTTGACCAGGGCGGGATAAATCTGGCCTGTCTGCTGCGATTAACGCCGTTACATACTTCAGGCTCTGTTAAAACAAACGGAGCGCTGATGTCAGGAGCCCGTGGAGGAGCAGCTGAGGAGAAGCAGTCTCCACGCTCTTGGCTGACGGCTCCAGACCAGCACCTTGATGGCTGTAATTACTGTCATGTCCCCAAAGAGATGAGAGATACCAGAGGCCCAAATAAAACCTTTAACGGTTTTGATATGATGGATTTCTCTGACTCTGTTTAGAAATTCCCTGAGGAGATGATGACTCGAACCCTACGCCCGCTCCACGGACAAAAAGCTTTATAGTGTTTAAATCAATACGCCTCCGAGTTAGCATTAGGCTTCATTCGCTCTAAGTGTAAGTATGCAGAATGGTTTCAGTAAATGTCTGCTAGCCTGTGTGTGTTTATAATGTACCTAATGCACTCTGAATGACACTGAATCTAAACACTTTCTCACACACACACACACACACACACACACACACACACACGGACTCGGCTTTACTGGCGCATTCCAACTTAGGTCCATCTTTATGAGTCCAGCTGTCTGTGAGCTGAAGTTGAACATTGCCGAGCAGCTAAACATAAGAAGTCACTCACTAAGTCAACAAAGAATTGAGTTATGATCGGCTTTTAAAAAGGGAATTTTTATTGTTTAAGCATTTAACCCTTTAAGTAAAAAGTTTACCCTGAACACAATAAACAATGAGCTAAATCTGCTCCAAACAAAGTAAACGAAAGTGACCGTAGATTTGAAACATATAAAAATATCTCTAAAGGGCTTTGGACCACCACCAAAGATCAGAGGACACAGACATTTGACAGTTTTTAAATTCAGACTAGTCGGCTACAATCTGAATAAGTAAATAAATTCTGTCTGGACAACTTGTAAATAAATTATCCCAGAATAAACCAAGTTGAAATGTCCATAATGACCCAAGAATTAAGGATTATTTTTCTATGCATTGGCCTATTATTCATTCATAAAAACTGCATGGTTCAATAAGTTATTAATTGGTTTGTTATGATTATCTCAGGTGAGTCAGATTCATACAAAGATTCTCATAGTTAGGGTCATGGTGGGCTGACGGACAGGTGGGTGTACAGAGACCTTAACCTTCCTCAGTCCCACCTCTTTACTCGTTTATAGATAGAGTGAACGTTGGGCCTGATATTAAATGGTGACTAGGGATGGGCGATAAATTATCGTTCAAAAATCACAGAAAAATCCTCTACGATAAATACGATAAATGCAAGTTGATGACATAAGCGCGATCAACGGACTTTCAGCCGTAGCCCACACATATCAGAATAACTAAAAAACATTGCTGACGGTAAAAAAGAAGACGTCTCCACATGAGGGATTCTCCTCAAGATTGGGGCTTAGAAGAGTGCAATCAGGTGTGCCTGGTATCGGACAGTGGATCTCCTCACTCTGTGCAATAAGAGTTTTCAAGGTTAAGTATCTTATTTGACTATTCCGACTGGTGTTATCAGGAAAATGAGACAAAAACATAGATTGGAATTATAACATTTTTTATTGGGACTTTTATCGTTATTGGCAAAATGGAAAAACTTATGGTCATAATTTTTTTAGCCTATATCGCCCATCCCTAATGGTGACCACCATCATTGTGCTTCATCAGGTCTCCAACAGATGCTGTCACTGAGACTGTGTCCATGTTTTGTTCAGTCTGTGGCCTTTATTAGTCTGCTGACCCACCTTGATACATGCAGTCGAAATTAAAGCGTGTGAAATCCCACAGCCCCTCCTATGATACCTACGATCTCCGAACCTCTTTCGCCCCACAGTGGGAGCTGCTACATCCTCAGAATAAGGAGGTTTTAGGGCAGTTTCCTCTCTCTGCTGTCTGACACATTGGAGAGATGCAAATGACACTGAAGCACATAGAGTCATGAAAACACTTATGAACAGGCTTACTGTATGAAACAACAGACGTCCTTTATGGTCTTTCTGTGGTTTTACATCTCAAACCAGCGGACAGTTCAGATTAGGGCTTCATGCTCAGATTCATTCTGCTCTGAAGGCGGATTACTCGTTCCTGAGCCAAGCTGCCGTCTAAAGATGTCAAAATAAAAGTCTCTATTTTAAGACAGGATTTCCCACAAAGGGGGAAATGTTCTGAGGAGTTGAAGTTTATGCTGGCATGCAGCGAACAGTTCTGTTCATGTATCAATAGCTAACCACACAACTTTAATTTGTACATCAAATATCTCCTCAATCAACTTTATTTTTACATTGACGGGCTTATATATTGTGTGGTCGGCTGTGGCCTTGAATGGCAAACAGGCAAAAACAAAAATCTCTCGCAGCCTTGAGACTCCTCCAAACTCGGTGAATCACTATGAACCAAAAGAATTGAAATTTTCCTAAAGTTTGTTTTCCTTTGCTTTTGATTTCGCAATACCTCTTTCCTCCCAAACTGAAATAAAACGCTTCACACTGTCGAGACTAAACTTTAAAAAAAAAAAGCACAGTGAACTGGAACCTGGAAAAAGCCTCTGAGAGCCTCACTGACCTTGCTGTTAAACCTCGAGCGTCTGCGTTATATTGAGTTGAGAGGGGAATACTCCGCTGGCCTCCTCTGCTTCAGATAAAGGGCCGATGTGCTGCTGTCAGTTCTCACCACAGTTTCCTCTCTGGAGCTGCAAAACAATAATAAAGGCACTTTAAACTTGACTTAAACTTAAACTCAGTTATAATAGCATGAGCCTGAGTTTTGGTTCTTTCCGGGACAACATCAGAGTCTGAAATGGTTTTAAAGTGACAAGCTTAATCTCCTGGATAACTAGACGGATGAGAGACAATGAGCAGAGCCTCATCATTACAGAGAAAAGAGAGGAGAAGAGATACATCGGCCCTTTTTAAACCACAGGTATGATTTACAGAGCGGGGTCGCTCGTCTGCATGAAATTAATAATAGGAAATGCGAGGGTAGTCCGACGACTTGTCCAAGATATACTTTCCCTGGCCCTCCAGACCCCAGGAAAACCTGGGTGGCCTGCAACCGGGCTTCCTCTGGTTTCTGATGTTAATGTCATTGCTTTCATTGGTATGACAGGAGCCCCACCACAAGCGTGGTTTGGGTCAGACAAAAGGGACGAGCTGTGATAGCAGGATCCCGGTCCATAACTCAGAAGAATCTGCTCTGTGTTTACCGGTGGTACTTCAGTCCCACGGTGAGGGTTGTTGCCACAGTCAGGGGAAGGAATGGAGATGAGGGTGAATTTTTTTCAGATCCGATTGTTTTTAAGTACTTCACTTTTCCAGAAATCAGAAACCACACAGTGCATTATGGTTAATGGATGTTTTGAATTACTTCAGCTACTTAATGGTTCCTCCTTACCCAGCCCACAGAATTGTTTCACAGTGGTTTTAATACTTTGCTTAAGTCATTGAGTATGATATTGAGTAATCTGCTTTCTAAATGTACCCATCACTATGAAGCATGTAGGCTGTTCACAATATTCAAAAGCCAGAGTTTACATTATAGGACGAGACGATGAGGGCAGGAAAACACGTCAGGACTATTATGCGGACTCTTTATTTACTGGATGTTTTAAGCGCAAGAAGCTCCAACTTTTTTTCCTACATGAGGTTTTAAAATCAAAATGTGATCCTCAGCATCAACATTTATTTTGCATAAATAGGATTAAATGGAGCCCTTGATAGTTCCTCATCTTTTGCACACAAAGGTCAGCGTGTCCTTAAAACACTGACGGTTAAAGTAAACGAGGACGGCTCTGGTGTCTTTGTTAACCCCGCAGAAGTTGGCACCGTTGTGAGAATCCCTTGTTTTCTGAAATAACAGAGGATCTAAGGCCCATTACTCTATATAAAGAGTATTGAAAAGAGGTAAGTGGAGGCCGGTGGAACATTTTGTAAATCTTGTGTCACCAAAACCACCGCAGGCAGGATGAATGCCTTTACTTCGCCAACAGGATATCCCCTCAGACTTGCTCGCTGCGTCGCTGATGAGGATAACAGAGGGTGCATTATTTTTGCTCAACAGCTCAGGGAGGTGATAAAGGCCTCTCAGATCCTCTCACAGGGTGCAGTGGTACACACACATCCATTTACATGACACAACATTTCATCTCCTACACTACAAGGGGGATTGTCTGGATTTAAACCCTTAAAAAAGAGCCATGGCCAACATGACTGGGGTCAGGAGGAAAAGACTTCTGAACACATAGAGGCCCAACACATCACATGCCCTTATAAAAATGTCTTCATAACAGCATCGCTGGAGAAGGCTGAAGAGGTTTTGAGAAGCACTGAATCGATTGTTTCTGCATTTTTTACTACACTGAAAACGGCTGCAGACAATTAAGTGTGGTGGAGGTTTGTAACTTTCAGTGACTGGTTTTAGCAGTAGGGGAGAGTGGGGTAAGATGATCTATTTTTCATATTTTGGATCGCTACATCAAGTCAATCCTAGTTTTGTCTCTAGCTCGCATATATTTTATGTAATCTTGATAATATAGCATGCCTAAAAAAGTGATCTCTGATGAAACTCTGATCCTCTCATCAGACTCCTTTACTTTCTCAGTTACCCCTGAACTACTATGATGACTTTATTAGTCCTCTAAGATAAAATGGTGGACTTTTATGTTGGGTTTTTGACCTCATGTTGGAGCTCATAGATACCACAATTGATGTATAAAACTAATTTAAAATGATCTTTTTGGGTCTGAACACAATTCTAATCAAACTTATGACAGACTAAATTCACTTTCAAGAGTGAAAAATGTTTTTTTGGAAATAAATGTCTAACCCGGTCCATGTATTATCCATCCATTCGGTTATTTCATTCAATCTAGTAAACGAAAAAATCAAGTCAATATTTTGTTTATTTGTTAGGAGGAAGATATGAATGTAGAAAAAATTACAACCAGATTTATTATTTTGTTTTTGTTTCCTTCTCGATTATATATTCTGTTTTGAACTGAAAATACGAAAATAAACACAATTTTTTTTGGTCATACAGAAAAACAAATAAACAAAATATTGACTCGTTTTTCTGTTTTCTGTTTACTAGATTGAAGGGAATAATTGAAAGGACGGATAATACATGGACCTTCACCAATGTGCTTCTAACCTTCACAGACTTCATGAATTGATGCCCATCTCCCAAATATTTGGTCATATGATCAATGTCCTTACCATTTACAAACAGCAGGGAGTGGCTCAACCTACCCCACTCTCCCCTAATATGGACCTTGTTTGCGTTCTAGGTGCTTTCACAAAATGGCTCCTACCATGAATTCAGTAAGTTAATGAGCTGACAGAGCCGAATTCAGAGCTTGATATCACAAAGACAGACCAGCACACAGAAGCTAGAACAATACAACTTAGATAAAGCAAAAAGAGACAACAATAACAGCAGTTTTTCTTGGTTTACTCACCCAAACTGTTCCAACGTTGTTCGTCACGCTCCGCCTCCATGTTCCGCCATGTTCCTATGGTAACTCAGGAAAGGCCTAATCACGCGGTAATGGCCGGTAGAAGGCAGACAGGTGTGGGAGAGGCCGCCAGGTAAACCTACCTGCGACTACAGTGGAAGATTGGTCGCACCGAAGTCAACATAACACGGTTTAATAAACGTTTTTTTGTCACTATATTCACTCTATAGTTCGTGAACTACAACGTCAGGCTAAGCTTCTGTTTACGCCACCAGACTAGCGCAGTGTAGCTACCGTAGTTAAGCTAGCTGCACCGCCAAATTTAAGCTAGCGCGGATACCGACGACCAGGCCACAAGCTGCTCGCGCCCATTTGCTCGTGCACCGTTTTCATGGAGCTGTTAGGGTTCAACACCTGGGACCATGAGGTGAGTAAACAACTTAAATTTATCTGAACTGTTCATTTATTTCCATATTTATTTGATGTTTGAAAGATTTGTCCTCATAGTTTTAAAGAATTGTCACACTAAGCTAATGTTTGTGTATCTGCTTACACACATAGATATGATAAGAAAGGCTAGATGAGTCTATGAGGCGGAGTCACCGGCGTCCCTACTCGGCGGCCATCTTACTTCAGTATACCATTCTGGTTCGCTCTCTGGTAGCTGACTGGAGGTGAGTAATCTACATGATCAAAAATACTCTAAACTCGCTGAAATCTTGACAGATTTACGAATGGTTTAGTTTATTACAGACCTTAATAACGTGGCTATGAGTCGGGATGCTTGGACATATTAAAATGGCTAACTTTGAGTCGCTTTGCATGAGTTGTCAAGGCTGAGACCACAATAGAGATTTTAATTTCTTGTATGACAGCCTATTTTCTATTTATTTGTGTAAGTGACAGTCTTTGTGGATGTGTTTGTGTTTATCAGCTGTCTAGTTAGGCTAAAAGACTAGCTGTGAGTGAGACCAAGTACATATTACAAAGTTGACCCAGTAATTTTACATCAGTTGAAGAGGCAGAAATGCTCTTTCGATTCAACATAACTTAGATAAGTTAGACACTCAGTTAAAAGTCAAAGTCATGTTGCACTATATAGTGACTATAAAACATCCCTCGTTGAATCAGATTGGTCAGAACTAACTCTTGTACGGTTCAGGGTATTCAGAGGAAGCACACACTGAGTACTTGTCATTTAGTGCCCTGAAAACAGAAGGTCATACTGGGATGGATATCAGAGCGTGAGCAGGGCCTCTTTCTGTTGTGTCAGTGTGGGCTGTGAAAGTCTGAACATTTTCAAACTGTCTCAAGAGCAGTGACAAGAAGACAAACTCTATTGTCCTTCGCACTTGGTGATTAAAATGAATGATTCCTGTTATGACTAGAGGCCCTGTTTTACTTCCTCTCTATCTACTAACAAGTGTGCGTACTTTCATTGTGAGGAGCAGTTCTCATTCTTGATCTGTGTTGGATGTGTATGTGCAGGACCTCAACTTCCACATGTTTTTACTCCTTTTGGCTCACTGTCAAGATTATGTTTTGTCATTTAAGCCGCTCACAGTAAACTTTTAGTAGGATGGGTGTGATTAGTTTGTCGCTAAAACTCTTGTTAAACCAAGAGGAACAAATCTGTTTTTGTATAATGGTAAAATAAAGGTAAATGATGGTTTTGAGATGTTTTCAAACATGCTTTATCCATGCTGTATGCAGCTTAGTTTGTTACAAGCAAGTTGAGTTTGCCTTGTCCAAATGTATTTAATTTTGCTGCTTTGGTTTTAGAGGTTAAAGTTTGTTTGATTTGCTGGGTATTATAGAGACATGCAGTGTTTTCCATTGACCACGTCTGGGTGGGCATTTTTAAATCTTAGAGGTTATTTTGTATAAAGCTGTTTCCACCTTTTGTGGTTGATGAATGAAGCAGTTTCTTATTTCTTTCTGCCCTTAGCATCCTAACCTGCAGCACCTGACACATGCTGTGAAGGTGATCAGAGAAGGAGATGGGTTCAGGTATACGTCAGTCCTTCCTCTTCTGAATGTCTTTAACACTTGCTGCACAGTATGTTTGTGACTCAGTTTCCATTTTTATTGTGACCGTACAGATTTAGAAGTATGTATCCTGTATGAAATAGTGTTTATTGGACATTAGCTGCTTTCAAAATGAATCTAGATTCACTCCTTCGAAATAGCAAAACTGAGTTTGAATTCCCATTTAAAGCATTATGGTATTTATCTAATGCAAGTAACCGTATAGGTGAAGTTAATCCCTGAGCATTTAGACCCATGCATAGTGCGCAGTTTCACATTTTCAAATGACCTAAGTGTAGAAACTTTAGCGCTGATTTACTAAAAGTCCAATAACAAGGTGTCTACATAACTTCTATAACTCACATGACTTGTTGGAGGGGGGCTGCTCTCAATTACAGCTAAAGTGGTGGAATATAATGCTTCCTTTATAGCTCTGAAATCATTTCAGTGGCTCTGGTAGTGCTGGCATAATTTTCAAAAGCCCAGGGCTGAGGTAGCCCATTAAAAATGCTCATAAACATTAATTTTGCCAGCGGGATGTGAGATTGTATTACCCTTTTGGCAGAAAAGAGCATGAAATATGTGGTTCTGTATTGGCTAAAGTAGTTCCCAGCCCCTGCTTTCCTTGAAAAGTGTAGAGCTCAGACTGTGAGTATTTGTCAACTCAGACTGAAGCAATTGGACGCAGCCCAGTCACCGTGTGCCTTGTCATGATGGTGATGGCGGTTGTGTCGACATAAAACCTTCAAATCTGAGGGAAGTGACTGCGCCAGAGAAATGTGCTGACTGATCAGCGGAGCACATTTCATATTTACTGAAGCCAAGGATAAATAAAACTGGAGCCATGAGGGGCGGAAAGTAACTGAGAGGTTGTCAGTACAACGCGCTGTTTTCAGTGTGGTTCCCAACCATTATTGTCTTAGGTTTGGGGTTTGTGAAAACTTTCTTGCAGTGGTATTCAAAATAGAAACATCTCTCTGTCCCTCATTGATCAAACACCCACTTATTAAACCAGAAGCTTTGTATGTGAGTTAAAATAAACTCTGACTTTAGCCATCAGTAACAAGAGTCAAAATGAAATTCACAGTTAACAAGACTGAACCATTTAACTTGATGAAAACAGATGAGGCCTGGTTCTAGGGCTGGGCGATATGTCCTCAAATCAATATCACAATATATTGACTAGTTCACCTTGGTAACGATAAATGGATAATAACTACTCCACCCCCTCCCACATTAACTTCGTCTACTTCAGCCGCTACAACTTTTGAACCGTCCTCCATCTCCTCACCTGTCTTTTCCTCTTTGTTACGGACTGGATGGGGTGGAGTCATGTCTCTGACGTAGGACAGCGTCTTAAAGGGACATGAGACCATAGCCTACCTACACACATCCAAAAACAACTTTCATTTATTTATTTATTTGACATTAAATATATCGATATGGGCAAAATGACGTCGGTTATTGATGTAAATTTTGGTATTGGTAAGTTTTGGGTTTATCGTCCAGCCCTACCTGGTTCCATTCACTCAAGTCATCACCCAAGTGACAAACAAGTTAAAGCTACTGTAAGGCTTTTTTTTTTTTTAGGTAAGTGAAATAGACAGCCAAAAGTCAGCAGGTTGGGATTATTTGTCAGTAAAGGACAAGATAAGCAAAAACAGCTTTGTCCACAAGGGGTGCTATAATCGCTCCAAACCAAGAGTTCCTCACTGGAGGTTTAAAAAGTCAGTCTATTTAACCAGGATCAAGAATTCAGATTATCTTTGTTTGGAATTATTAACCAAAATGTGATGGTAGCTTGGTTTAATTGTGCATGTAAACATACGAAGTAGGGCTGGGCGATAAACCAAAAATTTACGAATACCAAAAATTACGACAATAACCAACGTCATTTTGCCCATATCGGTGTATCCGTTGTGAAATAAATAAATAAATAAATAAAAGTTGGTTTTGGATGTGTGTAGGTAGGCTATGGTCTCATGTCCCTTTAAGACGCTGTATCGTGATATTGATTTGAGGCCATATCGCCCAGCCCTAGTTCAGCAGCAGACAGGTCCAGGGTCCAAACGGGCCTGTTTGTCATGAACAAAGTTAAAGTGAATTAGTTGCAGGAGCCAAAATGTTTTCAAGAATAGAAAGACTCAAAAATCAGCTGTAACTCTGAGAATAAGCTGCACCAACAGTCTCTGTTTACCTTAAAAGGTGATGGTTTTCTGAAACACTGAAGCTCTTCAGTGAGATCTCCAAATACACACTTGGTGGTAATTTAAAATTCAGGTGCTGCACCATGTGGAGAGTGGCTCAGAGTGATGGGAGCAGCCAGATATACGAGCAGCTCTGTGGTGAAAGGGGCTTGGCCTTCCTGGCACACACTACCTGGTCCACCCTATTGATGCTTGGCCAGCAGCCTGACCCACACCAGGTCGGATTTATGGCTGGATATTTAGCTCGTCTTTGCCACTCTGTTGGGCAGAAAGAATAACACCGTGCCTCTCTGCCTCTCTGCCTCCCGGCTGAGCTCTGCGCCTGGTGATGTTTCCCCTCAGAGAAAGCAGCCTGGCCACACTTCATAGACCTGCTGAGAGTAAACTGAAAATGTCAAAAACACTCCCATTACTCTCCCCTTCAACGTTAGCGTGTGGTCTGCGGCCTCAGTTTATCATCATGCTCTGAAAACAGTTTGAACTCTGTATCTATAGGAACTGCAGCTCTGTTAAAACCAGCATGACCATGACAAACACATCAGCTTAATTAGTGAGACGGTGAACTTTTCAGGAGTGACTTTTATCGCTCTTTGTCAGCCTTTGGAAACCAGTAACGCTGATGATAATAAAACAGGAAACAGTCACAATGTGTCATTGTTGGAATGAGGAAGTAAAGATGCTGCGGTATCAATATAGTTTTCTTCAGAAATTATGAGTTACCAACCACCGGTTAAATGACCTCAAGAGTGATCCAGTTTTAACACTTGCAGCAGGCGTAGAGTATTAAAACAAACACTCTAAATACTTTGACACA